GTGTCGTGCCTTGGAACGTGTACTGGTACTGGTGCCTGGCGATGCCGAGCGTGTCCGCGTAATCAATGTACCGTCGGGGCAGGTCCTTGAAAAAGTCGTAGAGCGGGTTGTTGGCCGCGTTCCACACGGATGTAAATCTCCCGTCTAGACATGTACTCTCCGCACTTCTTGGCCACGCCAGGATCGAGCCTACCTCTCCCCAAGACTTGCATCATGATCACGTCGGTGGGCAAGATCGTCCTGCCAAAGTAGTTGCGGCAAGACGTCCACGTCCGAGAATCTCTCGTGCGATCTCTGATCACCGCCTTGCGCACGGCGCAATCGTAGTAGATGGTGTGCAGCGCATCGATCATGGTCTAGCGCTTACGTCAATTTGAGCCCATCGAGAGCTGAATCATTACATGATGGGCGTAGAAGACAGGGTCAGCGGGCGACGCAAACGTACCCATGACAGAGCCGAGGGCGCCATGTACCATGTCTACTCATTCCCATTAGAGAGCCAAATCTCGATCCGCGCGTACTGTGTGCGCCATACTGGATGCCTGCCGTGACGCCTTCAAGTGTCTGGCGACCGTTGCCGAGAACACTGTTGTAGATGCTCTGAAGGTTCACTTCCGCCGGCACGGAAACCCGGGACCAGTCGTTGCGGGGCATGCAGCCAAGACACTGCTTCCGGTTGAACGCGGCCGTGCTCTCGCAAAAGTTCTCGGTCATACGCGACGAGACGCAGTTGTCCGACGAGAAACGAACACCGCTCACCGTATAGCTACGGACACCGTTTCTGTCTATGCGTTTCATGTATTGGATGAAGGGATGAAGACCACGGCGAAAATTTCACCTCGGGGTAGCGAGCCACCAAAGTCCTGGAGGAGATCACTGCAGTCGAGCATACTGCGACACTGTCGGTCGGCAAAGTTGGCGCCAAGGCGCGGGTAGTCCCAAAACGGAAGCGTCACGCAAGCAAACTGCGCGCCAAGCGACCGCAGCATGTTTTCGTACGCGAGCAAGTACGCGCGGTGCCAGTAGACGAACATGCATGCGTGGGCTTCGCGCTCGGACGCGGGGTGCATGTGGACCTCGACGAAGCGTTGATGCAGCCCGTTCTTCATCGCCAAGCTCACGGCATCGATGTAAGTGCTCTTCTCGGTCTGCGAAAACGTGCTCCAGGCCTTGCGCACACGAGGATTCGGGCAATTGACCGTCGATTGGCCCGCAACAAGGGCCACGAGCGAGAGAAGAGGCCACAGATAAAGCAGGCGCATGTCGCTCGAGGAGTCAAACTCGGAATGCTCATCTACGACCGGTAGGCAGCACAAAAGCTCGAAATCGAAGACAAGCCGACGGGTGGCAGACGCGGCCGCATATTATGTTTCCATGGAATAACGGACAACAACGGTTGTGTTTTAGTGGCTACAATCGTGCTTCCAAGAGTCGATTCCAAGAAAAAGTTTTTGTGCGGAACGACGAGCAAGCGAAAAGCCGCCGACGAAATCGAAGAAAAGACGTGAGATCGTGGCCAAGGGTACCCAGGGGCATATGCCATGTACGCCCGTCGCCTCATGATAAAAAGCGATCCCGCGACGCCATTCCCAAGGCTGAAATTTGGCTCCATACCACAGCGCGCGTCACACGTGTGCTCGTTCAAGAAACAAATACAGGTGGCAGCAAGGACGACGGAGACCGTTAGTCTTTGGACATGGTGCATAATAGATATGAGTGTAAATGAGATTTCAAAAGTGAATCCTCATGACATGATGCTTGTCAAGTGTACATAATGTAGTACATACAGGAGATCCCGCTAGGTCAAAGGGCTTGCACGATCTACCAACCTGCACAGCCATGGTTTCTTGAACCTAGGCGGCTATTGATAGCATAGAGATCGCGTCGGATGCATATCCTTCTATTGATAGGACGTGCACTGCACAACAAGCCATATTCTTCTCTAGATATAGTAGTGTGGGACCTTGTATGGAATGGTCTGCAGGCCACCCACTGCCCCTCCACAGCGTCTAATTATAATCATGCCCACTTAGCATTTGCCTTGTATCCAACAAGCTTGAATATATTGAGTACTCGCGTCCAATTGTCTTGCAGCTCGTTTGTTCTAGACAAGAAGGGAGCTTCTTGGCTGGTTTCGCCGCCAACAGTATCATGGCCCATCACTGCACCACCTTTTGTCACTCGGCGTGTGGGGTTTTGCACGCGTCACCTCAAGGGTGTAGCCCTTGGTGATGACGTTTTCCTCTCACACACACACTAGACCAGCGAGAGCGGACTCGCACACCCATAGCTAACCGGTTGGAGGTTCGGAGGTTAGCTCAACCTGCTAACCCGACCGGTCAGCCGAGCCAGTCCATGTTAAGTTGGTCGTAGGCCTTCGCCATCCGATAAGCTTTGTCTGCGCCATCCAGCCGAGCCCCCAAAACAATGCGAGCCACCAATCTCGGCTCCTCAGCTCCGCTAATGTACACCGAGCCTGGTCAGCTCACTTCTTCTTTTGTCAGACCGCAAGTGCTTTCTCGTTTGTTCTCCCCATCTCAACTGTTCTTGTTCAAGTACCCCGCTTGCTCGCGCATCTCGCACACTCGCTTCTCGAAGTACGGAGTACTAGTATATTGGTTTAATAGCACATCAAGGGATTGCGCATTCATTATTTTTAAGACTAGTCATACCAGTCAGTTCGTTCCCGGTAGAAATTGACGAGGACAAGGCTTCGGTGCATAATGAACTTGTCACGTGCCGCTCGTGAAACGCGAAAGAAAATTGCTCGGCGCTCGTCCGGTACCGTATCCACATTCTGGATCCGAACGGTGATGTGCAGGCCCATCCTTCCAGCGTCCTTCCTTAAGCTCGCCATGCAACCGGCTGTGCAATCACCAAGGGTCACAGCACCAAGTAATCACCAGTCAGAACCGAAACTTATGACCTTGGTAAAACCAAAGGCACCTTGGATACTTGCCGGTATGCCATGGGCAAAACACACAGCAGTGACTTTAGCTTCCTGTTTACGTGGCGGTGAGCTATGGCGATGGGTTGCGTTTAACGTTAAATAGGTACGGTATAGGTAGCAAAGTCAAGGCAATCTCTAGGGTCGGTCCACTTGAAGTTGCTAGGGATGCCGCGCCAACCCGTCGTAGTTACAGTGAGTGTGCATGCATTTGAAGCTGGGTGAGGAGCAGCCCCACCCCTAGAACTACACCAATCGAAGGATGTCCTGCTCTAAGTGGTTGTGTTGTTAGGTATTGGCTCACGGAGGTACCAAGGTACTTCACTCGGCTTAAGGTTCGCTCTGAGTACACAAGTAGACGTCCAGAGACGAGATGCTTCAAGACTATAGACTGTGAAGTGCATTAAGCTGTTCTTCCCTGTAGATACTAAATCCTGCATCTACTGAGATAGCCCTTGATCCAAGCGGTGTGTATTCTCGAACGATCACTGGAGTGGCTCCAAACCTTCACTTCGTTTCGATCCCTCAATACAAATATCAAGTATGCTCCCGGCACGACCAGCAGAACCTATTTGTATCACGTCCTGCGACTTACTGTCGTGCAGTCGTTTGGCGCCGAGCCACATCTTTTTACCCAATCAGAGGTGCTCATTGAATAGATTTCAGCCAATCGTCAAGGCGAGTGTGACGAAGTATGGGGCAGAATGACGCTGATGTGTTAACAGCCTCTGGGTGTCCATTTCGGCAACGAGGACTTGTCCGAATTGTATGAGCCCTTTGATATGGCACCCTGTACGATCCTTGCAAAGCTGATGCGCTCAGTTTCTTTCCCGTCATTTCGACAGAAACAAAGACCAGCGAACGAGTGTCGAGTCTTTGTAGGTCGATCGCAAACGTCGTTTCCGCGATGCGAACGCAGTCATTGGCGAGTAGAGCCTCTCGCCCAAGGAACGATACAGCAAATTATCGCGGAGAATCACTGCCTGGCTCAAATCTGCTGACGAGCAAGCAAAAATGAATGGCAACTTCAAGTTGGTTTAGGTTTTCTGGTGCCGATTTCAAGTGTCCGAATTTCGCTGAGCGATTCGAAGGCAGATCCGGATAGCTATATCCGGTACCCGACTACGGCGTGTGGTCGGCATTTGCACTTTTGCTTCGCCAACCTCAGTTGAACATGCTCGCCCGCTCTATCTCCGCCCGCTTCTTCAGCGCCGCCGCTGCCGGCAAGAAGGTACCATGGGTGCAAGATGGGCGAAGAAGTCATCTCGAATTGCGTAGGTTGCCGTCCTCGGCGCCGCCGGTGGCATTGGCCAGCCCATGAGCTTGCTGCTCAAGGTAGGCTTCCTGTGAACCTGCGTTTTCTGAGCGCAGCAATGATAGGACTCGGACCACATCTCGCACTTGTCGCTCTTTGATGTCGTCAACACGCCCGGTGCTGAGACTATGTCTCGCACTGCAACACGCGCGCTACGGTCACGGGCGTCGCCGGCATGGAGAACATTGAGGAGGCTCTTACGGGCATGGACGTTGTCGTCATTCCCGCTGGTGTCCCGCGCAAGCCTGGCATGACGCGCGACGACTTGTTCAACACGAACGCGTCGATCGTCCAGTCGTTGGCGTCTGCGTGTGCCAAGTACTGCCCGGAGGCCATGATGCTCATCATCGCCAACCCGGTCAACTCGACGGTCCCGATTGTCGCCGAAACGTTCAAGAAGGCTGGTGTCTACAACCCCAAGCGCCTTTTCGGTGTGACTACGTTGGACGTTGTTCGCGCCAACACGTTTGTCGGCCAGTCGCAGGGCTGGAACCCGCGCACGACCAACGTGACGGTCATTGGCGGCCACGCCGGCACCACCATCTTGCCGCTCCTTTCGCACCTCAAGCTCGACCGCCAGTGGTCGGACGATGAGCTCCACGCCTTGATCAAGCGCATTCAGTTTGGCGGTGACGAGGTTGTCCAGGCCAAGAACGGCGCTGGCTCGGCTACGCTCTCCATGGCGTATGCTGGTGCCCGCTTCACGACGTACGCCTCTCCCATTCATGGCAACGCGGATGCTAATGGTCTTCATCTAGGCGCCTCTTGGACGCCATGACCGGCGCCAAGGATGTTGTCGAGTGCTCGTACACGCAGAACGACGTCACGAGCCTCCCGTTCTTCTCGACGCCCGTCACGCTCGGCCCCAACGGTGTCGAGAAGGTCCACCACTTTGGCTCGTTGAACGCCGTTGAACAGGCCAACTTTGACGCCATGTTGCCTGGTGAGTCGCATGCCTTGTATCGAGAGGCACAGACTCAGCGTGTTTTCTGTGCTAGACTTGGAGAAGCAGATCGCCAAGGGTGTCGCGTTCGTCAACAAGAACTAAGCGACATGAATACACAAGACCTTTTTCTTGATCTATCTCGGCGGCAAGGTGTCGTCTTGAAGCACCTGATGCCTGCGAACACTGCTTGAGGGCGTTGCATCGACGATAGTAGTATGCACACTTCCTCGAAAGCGAGGTTTGCTGAAACCGCGTGACCGCCATTTCAGCGTTTCCCGATTTAGCCGCGTGACCGCCATTTCAGCGTTTCCCGATTTAGCCGCAAGAGCCAACCGCGGCAGCCATCCTTGCACCGATGGCGAGCCCTGCGTCGGTCGAGCAAGACGTCATGGCTGTCGACATAGGTAGCATTGACATCAGCACCGCGACTGGGATCAAGACGACAGCGACGACGAGCCGCCTTCCGCTGGCGATGGACCCCCGCCGCGTACCAGACTTTAGCCGCAGGAGTCTGCGTCGACGGAGCGGCGAAGCCTCGGCCCACGTGACCCGTCGCATCTCCGCAATCGCTCGACAGGCCGGGTCGCTCGGGCGCAGTGCGTTCACGCTACGGCGCATCTCGATGGTTTCGTCCATGGACCTCAAGATCGACGCCCTCACGTCACGCGACGTCGCGACGACATATGTGCTGTTCCACCTCTCGCTTGCGCTCGGGATGGTGCTGAGTCTCACAACGGTGCAATTCTGGCTCAACACAAGCCACAGCCCGAGTGCCGCTGGAGGGGGCGAAGGGCTCTGGTTCCTCATTAGTATCGGCCACTACGCGAGTTATGTCTTCATCTCGGTCGTGTGCGGCGTCTTTGCGCGCCGCATTTACACGCTCCCGGTGCGCCAGCCCGTTCAGGAGACAATGGCGTACATTGCAAGCACGTACGGCGTCATTACACTTGGCGAGTTCCTCGTGGAAGCATCGCTTTCTGTGCGCGCCGGCCACGTGTGGAGCATGTGCCACGATAGCGGCGACGTCGAGCCCGTGAGCTTGGTCGTTCGCAACGTCCTCAACGCCCTTCAAGCCACGGTCTTCTACGTCGTGCTCACAAAGGTCTGCAGCTGCTTTCGAGTGAGCGAGGCCACGCACCATGCAACCCGCGTCACGCACATCGGACCGTCAGCAGCCATGTTCCTCGTCTACATCGGTCTCCGTGTCTACCTCGGCGTCGCCAACGGCATCATTTTGGACTACGTGCCCACGACCAACGCGATCACGACACTTCGGCTCTGGTACGCGGAGGAGGCGACCGTGACGCCACCGCTCAGCGTCGTCACGGCCACCTTGGTGGTCACAGCGTGCGATGTTGGCTTCTCTCTGTGGGCGTGGGCCGAGATCGTAGCTGTGCGCCGGTCGTTCCGCGAGACTTTTGTGCGCAACCTCTCCAAGCTTCTCACGGCCTTCAACTTTTTCATGTACTACAACGCGCGGATGATCTTGGTGCTCATCGCGAGCGGCCACTTCGTCGCGTGGTTACTCCCCATCAACTACT